ATGTAATGTCATCTCGAAACCTCAGTGTGATGCGCCGCGCGCGAAATTGGCGGGGTGACCTACTTTCGACGGACACGCGCAACGGACCTTCACCCCCACCACACACCACTGTGTCCTTGCCCAGAGCCTCTTTTCGACGCGTCGTATATGTGACGGGTAAAAATTTACGTGTTAACACGTGCCGGATNCGACTAAGAAGAAAATTCATTCCGGCACTCGGCTCTTACAGTAACCCCCTGGCTTATCCCACCACCCAACCCGTGTCCTTGCCCAAAGCCCCTTTTCGACGCGTCGTATATGTGACGGGTAAAAATTTACGTGTTAACACGTGCCGGATTACTGTAAGAGCCGAGTGCCGGACTGAATTTTCGTGCCTGTGGTACATAATGAGGAGGTCTGGCAGTGAAACGGAAGCGTAGCTCTGTTTTTCACATAATTCTGTGTTTTTGTGAACGAGAAACGACTGGGAGTTCATGGAAGTGTCCCTTCGGGAGGTTTACTCTGTTTTGAATTCAGTGAAAATCGAGTGCTCATCGTTTCAAATCTGCTTAGATAGTTCTGCTTTGTCATCTGGGGAAAGACCACCCAATGCCGATTCTTTTGCGAACATCCTTCTGCCTGTATCCTCCGCATGTCTTGACTTACGGAAGGCTTAGCCACCATCAATGGGTTAAGTGTGTAAAAAGAGCAACGGTGGAAGTCGTCTTGACCCTTGCAGAGGAAGAGGGAAATCTCTGTTCTCTGGAACAGTAACGCGTTGCGTTCATAAAGTATTTCTTGTTTCGATTTCTCATAGTGGGGGCACCATTACCGGATGGCCCTGACTTCCCGCCCCTCGAGCGGTGGCACCTCAGACGAGTATCGAGGCGATACATATTGCAATGTTCACTCTAGGACTCAAACCCAATTAGCTAATCGCCGAGTAATGAGGCGATGTTTTTCTCCCGATCTTTCACTCTCTGTTATTGTTTTCGTTGCTGCAATCCTTATTCTAATTTTCTACCTCAAGAGGCTGGAAAAGGTAAGCTATTTCTGCTGTCACTAGGATTTGTTTGTCAACTTATGCTTATGAGTGAATTCAGCTATTCAGGACTAACGCGTACGCAATGACACACATTGTATAGCTCATCCAAACGCTCCATTCTTCTTCATTTTTTCTGGTCTCATTCTCGTCCAGTCCCTTTTTTTTAACGGTTTTTCGAAGCCTTTTCCCACTTTGAAAACACCGATTCACACAGTTTCTTTGCCTTCATCGCACTATTTCCCATCTGATCTTCCATTTTTCGCCACGATCTGGATTACCCAAAGTTATCGTGAACCGTGCCTTTGAATTCGTTACTTTTCGAATGCGAATTCATTTTTCGAAATGACAATCACTCTGCTCAGCAGATTTCTAGCAGTGTTCCACTAACGGATTAATTTCTTTAGTATGAAAATGGGGATCCCCTTGATTTGTTTGCCACCTTTCTTGAAACTGTTTCTCCTCCTAAAAAAAGATCTTCAAAGCCTGAAGAGGGGTTTTACTTGCAAAATTTCTATTCGAGCTTACATGTTTTTCGTGGAGCATCTTGCTTGTGCATTTTGGTATTATTGAACAAATCCTTTGCAATTCACTGAAGCAATGAGTTTCGAGCTGATTTCGGTTCTTTTTTCAAAGATTGGAGTTGTAAAGAGACTCATAACATCCCTTAAAGCAATTAGTTTATTGGTTACTCCCCCAATGTTTGCATGTGAGAGGTAGAGCTGGTTTTTTTCAAAAACCTTCGCTTAATTTAATCAAAAGGTGTCAAGGCACTTGCTCTTTGGCGAATGAGAAACGGTTTACTAACTTTGACACAGTTACATCATAACTTAGTAACAATCAGTAGTTGTATGGAGCTCGATAGATCATGTTCTGGTCGGCCGATCGTGGAAGACCTACATTGCTTCTAAAATAATAGGTTGGCAACTAAGTGATTTCGTATATTTGAAAAAGTTCAGTCCTCTTTACAAGAAAAGGAGCATTCATTCAGTTTATATTGGCCATAGTTCCTAATCTACAATAAGTATCATTTCGAAAAACAGGTAGTTACCATTTAAGCTGAATGTCTGAAGTTCTTATCAAGATACACAGTTGCTTAGGTACCAACCTAAGGCTTGGTCTTCGTTTCTAAATTGCGTCTACTCAAATCCTTTTTACCGTTCCAGATGGATGTAGAGAACGGCTCACGTTCTTCCATTGTCGATGAACCCATGGTTAAACAAATCGAAACTCCTCATCGGCATTCAGCGTAGGTGTCTTTGTATGCAGAATACCGAAATAGAATTAGTGTATGGCTATCTGAAGATAAGATGTTGCGGTCGAAGAAATTGTAAACTTTAAGTATTTAGCGCTCTTGTGCCGGACATGTTTTTAATGGTTTACCATTTCTAGTGCCTTACGTTGTGACAATTTCATAATTCGGGTGGGTGTTGGGTGTGGGTGTGATTGGGGGGTATTAATTTGGGTTTTGAAGTCTGACAGCAGCCAGGGGCATATTGGAACTCATATTAATTCGAAAGTCGTTGGTCTGAATTGCAACTACATACACAACTACGTAACTGGAACTACGTAGTTATGAGTTCGTCAGCGTTAAGCGTGATGGATAACACCCAAAAGCTTCGGAATACTTTTCTCTGAAAAGACAATTTTGTGAAACGTCATTCACAATAAATGTTCCGTCATCAAATACTTGTCCAGCAGGAACCATTGGCTACGTATAGAACAGCCCAATTTCAAGAAAGGCCAACTTGGAGTTTACTTCAGACTCATAAATTTTTGGCTTGGAACCAATTTCAGTGTAGTCAAACTCGATCTTGATACGGAGGATGTTGCTCGAAAAGTTCTCAGCGTACTGAGTGTTGACGAGGAGCCAAGCCGTAGCACTACAGTTCGAAGTTTTTCAGTTGAGGGAAGCAACTTGCACATGTTAGTTTTCACTGTATTTTATGCAAGTCAGTATATGCGACTCCTATTGTAAAATAAGAAGTTGCTCAGGAGAGCTTACCGATGAATAAACTGAAACATGTCATTAGCATTTATGATATGTTCACTTTCAGAATGATAGAAGCTTCGGATAGGAAATCACTGCAGAAATCATTGGCTAATCTACTTGATATGTGCAGTCTTGCCAAATCTACGATAGACTTGGCATTACAGAAAAAGTGGATCTCAGTTAGCGAACCTGTGCAAAAGAAGTTGAAGAATTGCTCCCATTGACGACTGTTATCTGTTCGAGCTTTCTTGTTATTGCTTTGTTTTGTACCTAAAAATTTCATAAAAATCTGCTTCATTCTTTCCAAAGTATTCCTTCGAAGTCGTTCGTTCGCCTCATGTTATCTCTTCCGCCGTCAGAGATGATTTTACTATTGTAACGACACTACAGCTATTGGTTTACTTTATAGATGTTCAAAGGGTTGAAATTGAAACTTGAGGATGAAGCCAAGAAAATCCAAGCGTCAATGCAGCAGTATGGTGAACAACTAACTCAACAAGTTGATCATATAAGAGGCGCCACGGTGAAAGATAGATGATTTTGTAAAGTTCTGTTGAGTGCATGAAAAGGTTTTTTCAGAGTGACGCTGGCAGTGAGGGTGGGTCAAGCATAACACGTCGCTTTTTGAGTTCTGTCGGTGGTTCTTCGGCAGCGTCCCCGAGTTCGAAAGATCTTCTCAACCAGTCTGTAAGTCGTTTCTTTTACAGTCAGTACCTTCTTACCAATCAATGTCAGTGTCAATGAGTAGGCAATCCAGGAAGATTCACTGGGTTTGGATTCTTCATCACGTCAAAGACGGCTGTCGGACGGTTCCACTCATAGTACGGAGAGGTTTGTAATGTATTATTTTTTCTTGCGCATTCGCGAAAGCGATCATTCGAGCGCTATGCAGCCTTTTTAGTTCATGAATTCATTTCTCGCTGTTTTACTTGTCTTTCCCCAATGGAGATGAAAAAGGAAGTGATGTTGATGTTTTTCTGAAGCATTATGCTCCTCCTGCTTCCGGCTTTGCATGATTCCATGTATAGCGGCGTTGTAGCGGCAAGTAGCGCCCAATCACACACGGGTTCGAATCCCGGATCGGAATTCGGCTAGACCGACCAAGCCTTCCATCCTTTCGGAGTCGGTTGATTGGTACCAATCTCGTCTGGGAAGTAAAAAGGACTGATCTGTACATCAGCTCACCGCAACAAGTCATTATATAGGCTACATACGCATTCATTACGCCACTACGTTCCTGGATGGAAGTCTAATGCTAGCGCGCATCTTCAGAGGATGCACTCATAGTGAGGCAGCCTGCTGCACCAGTCTGCAGCCAGCTGCCCCTCACGGCTGATGGCTTATGCTGCGTGATGCCGGTTTTGCTTTTATCAGCAGGTTTTGTTGTAATTTTTATTTTTTATCGTGTTCCCTGTCAATGGCCGGTCTTCCGTGTTTAACGTTTCGCATGAGCTTACTATTTTGTTACTTAGTTTTTATATCTCTCTCACTTGAGAGTGCGACTGGCAGGGCGAGCGTTCTATATTCTTGCTAGTACTGAGGTGTTTAGATTCTGGACCAAGGAGTAAGACTAGTGAGAATGAAAAACATGCACGCACAACACGTCAATAGTAGCTGGAATATAAAGCAGGGAAGAATAAACAAGTCGTCTACGATGGAGTTTCAAACACTCGCCTTACGGGTGGCATCCCTACAACAAATACTGGAATTAGAGAAAAAAAAGTAGCAAAAAAAAAGCTAACGCGAACATTTTGCGCACAGGATACCGGTCACTGATATGGAATGCGAAGAAAAATAAAAACCACAGCAAATACTACTGATGAAAACAGGAATCATCCTTTCACTCACTCATTTTGTACATGTACACTTTGTAAATTGTACGGTGTTGATTAACATCGAAAGTCTTTAAGACTCTGTGGAGAAATAGCACCAGACTGTGACTGACTGCGAAAGCCAGAAAATTCTTAAGTTTCAAAGTTTACTTTTCCAATGTGCTATATTAGGTAATCTGTAAGCGTTTGCTAGCAAATAATACATTTCTCGCCCTTTCTTTATATTTGTGGCAGTTAATTTGTATTGGCCTTGTTAGAACTGATCGTGTTATATTTCAAGACAAGATCAGAGTTTCAGCTCTCTCTCCGTATTATTTCAATCTGTTCCCGGCTTAGCTGGTACAACCCTAGACACTGCAGGTTCTGATAGTGAAACTATAGACGAGTATGGCTCTGGAGTTATTCGTTCTGCAACCAAAGATCAGGTGCGTTTTGAATTTTTCTTCGATAGGACATGTTTAATGACCTGCAATCATTATTTACAGATATCTAGTGTACTTTCAAGATTGCAAGGTCGTGCTTCAACCTATAAAGATAAATATAGAGATTTGGTGAAGAAATACAATGATGTTGTCACGGAAAATAATAAATGTCGCGTAAGTTCCTTGAGAATTCGGTGGGTTGCTGTACTAAAAAAACTGGAACCTCTTGTAGACAGTGCTTGCACAGACGCAGGACAAAGCCCTAGATCGTATTGAAAAATTGAAGCGCGACAAAAAAGCCCTCGGGGAGAAGTTGCGTGAACTAGAGGAAAACCAGTCTAACCTCCCCTCGGTAAGTCTTCTAGCATACGGCATTCTTTGATTCCATCGCTTTCAGCAGCATTGGCAAAGTGAACAGTAAAAAACCGTTCCAGGTTGAACACAAGCAGCATCGTCTTGAGGAAATGCTAGAGAAATGCAAATTGGAAATTACTAAGAATCGTGCAAAGATAAAAGAACTAACTCAAGAAAATGAAAAGTTGTCATTGAACGTCCAAGCAGCTGAAAGTGAAGTAAGTACGTCTCCTCTCCGCAGTGTAGCTCATGAGCTGTCTGCCACATATGTCAGTTTGATAAAATGAAAGCTTTGATAGTAGTGTTGGACTTGATTTTAAGGACCATCTTACAAGCAACAGTGGTATCATCCACATGATAAAGTTTTTCCACCAGTGCCTTTTTCTTGATTTTTAGTCAGATATTTCGACTTTGGTTGCGGATCGTGTAGCTAATGAGTGGAAGCAAAGGATCGATAGGGTGGAAGAAGAATGGACAGAGCGAATGAATAAAGTCAGATAAAAATTCGAAAAAAACCTAGAAAGTTTACAAAATTCTTCCTGTAGAATGATGCCGACCATGCGATACAGTTGGCAACAACGAAAGCTGACATGCACGCTGCTTTAGAAGCGAAAGACAAGGAGGTAAGGTATAGTAATCTTCTTCTTTCTATGAGTGATACTCGTTTTTTCATCGATCTCTTTTAAGATTGAATCATGGAGATCCAAATGCCATGCGTTGGAATTACAGGATGGGCAAGCAAACGAGCGTTGGCAGAAAAAAGTGGATGAGTTACAGAAAGTAATTCAGGTATATTGATTCTAATACCTTTCCACTTCTACGAGTTTGGGTTCATAATTTATTCTTGTGGTCTTCTATGGTGAAAGTTTTTCTTGACCGCTTCAGTAAAGGACCAACAATCGAATTCAGTTCTTTTACTACATTTCCCTTTCATATTTTTCTCAATCTGGGTGAAAGAGAAAACAATGAAAGCCGCCTCCCCTTCATTGTCCAAACGCAAAGCATGATTCGATGGCGTGACCTCCGAAATATATTCGCTGTCTCAGAATTAAATTCTCCATGGTGTTGAAATTATCAAAGTAGGGACGCCCAGAAAAAAGAAACACGAATTTGAGAAGAACGGTAACAACCTTGTGTCGAGCAAGTGGGTTCAGCTGCAGTGGAATCTTTCAAGAGATAATCGGTGGTTCGCAGTCATTCAGAACATATAAAAAATGGTACAGGTCTCACAGTAATTCACATCTTATAAAAAGAAGTAACAAGCCTATTCATCCTTCTTGGATATGGTAACTAGACAATTAAAGAAAGGGCACTCACCTCGAATCCCACTTGGTGGTTATCCAGTTTGTGCTAGCTGTATTTCTTGTTCAGTTCTTATGGACAAGGTATACAACTAGCGGAACCCGTTTTGTTGTCTGTTAGACAACTATAGGACGTGGTGGTTACTACCTGCTGGTAAAGAATAACATGCAACACCGTAGGTGGCGGATGATGCGGCTCGATCGCTGTACCCCAGGCTGGCGGACGGGGTAAGACCAGATGTAAGAAAATCATTCCAGCTCCACATTCCCATTCGACCCTTATCTGCGCAATCTGGGTGTTACCTTAATAGCTTTAGCGTGAATCATCCTTCTTCTCGAACCTCTGAACTATGCTTAACCCTTACAATGTAATCGAACTTTAAATTATACTGTTCTCAGGCGCTGGAAGTGGAAAAAGGCGACATGATCGAAAAACTTTCGGCAGCTAAACTGCAGGGTGTCAAAGTAAGTGAAATCTTCTCGTCTATTTCTGTATTTCTCCTGAACTTTCGATCATTCCTTTGATGCCATCACCATCTCCTTTGGAGGGAACATACTACAGCGCCTCGAAAGTGTGGGCACTTTTACCGGGCTTACCAGTGAATTTTGAGTTGTAACATTTATACGGAATTAATAATCGATTGCGAAAATCTCGGAATATCTATTCTTCTGGGAACTTCGAAAAGCTTTTACTTTTTTTTATTAGAGAAAAAATCTTCTTTGTAACAAAAGTATGAGAACACTATGTAAAACAAAGGAACATGGTTAAAGTCAACGCTCGATAGGCCTTCTAGAGTCCCTTGTTTGTTCGAACATACTGTTTTGCGTGCTCTAAACCAAGTTTGCGATGGTTGTCTCATCAATTAATTTCCAACCAGGCAAGATCGCGGCATTCAATTACTCCACGCCGTTGTACTGATGGTTGTTGAGGTAGACTCATCCAGCCGTGATCCCCCGTAGGTTTTCGATGTGGAGCAGTCAAGAGAGCAATCCGGCCTCTCCATCACATTAACATTATGGGGTTGAAGCTAGACAGAAGCACAGACAGCTACACATGTGGAAAACATATCTTGCTGGGAAAACGTATCTTGCGCGCCGCTTGAAAATGGCGAGAGGTAGAGCTGAAGCACTTCGGTACTACTGGGAAAGGTGAGCTTCAGTTCACCACTGTTTCCAAAGCCAAACCAAACCGTTAGCGGCATTGGCTCCTATGGAGATTCGCCTTGAATAGATTAGTCTAAATTGAACTTATCTTCAACCCAGAAACTGACTGAAAGGAAAAAAAAACTGCAGAAACTATGTTTAACGAACTTAGAAATCTTTCGAAAATTACACCTTGTTCCACGAAGTTGCCATTGCAGTATATTTGCTAGTGAACTTCAGCATTTCCATTTTTTGAGCATTTAGACGAGGTGCTAATCCCATTGAGAAGCGAAGTTGACTCAAAGATAAAGTACGGTCTTGAGCTGTAACGCTTCGAGGCTGCCCCATGACCAGGGCAGAGCGGCAGGCATCAGTTTTCTGAACGTATTCTCTAGGGCATGAAGGCCGAAACAAGTTTGCAGCTCCATGAGAAGCCCTGACCTGAGCTTGTCCTTTGTTAGGAGAAGATAACCACAAAGAAGCTCGACGGCAGAATAGTTGTGACGGAAAATGCTAAACGAAAGGTTCATCGCGATTGTGGCGCCAAAGCATGATGTACCTTGAGTGTCAACATGCTTTCGTTACAAAGAATATTTTTATTCGAATGAAAAAAAAAATTTCGGTGTATCCATGAGAACAGGTAATTCTAGGTTTTTGCATCCGAGGATTCGAATGGTAAGAAGTTTTGAGCTCAGAATTCACTGGCAAGCCCGGTGAACAAAAATAATGAGCTGTCAACATATTTTTGTTACGCAGTGCACTCCGACCGTTTTTTAAAACCTCATTTGCTACAAATAGATGGCCGCTTTTTGAGCGGACCATAAGCAATATCTTCTTCATAATTTCTAGCTTGCTATCAGCTCGTTTTCGATGCTCACAAGTTGTTTGTAGATGTACTGGGTTTGAAGTCTATAATTCCGCTGTTGACTAACCATATCCTCCTTACCATTAGAAACGTCGCTAGTTCAATTATGCTGTTTACATACCTGCTGTAGTTACTTTTCAACCTCTCCCCTTTGCACCATCCCATGTCGATAGCGATTTGTTTACGGTGCCAAATGTTTTGCAGTTTTAAGGTTTCTTCATGACAGCTTATTAATCGGAGTCGTCACTGAAGAGATTGAGACTGAGCCGTCGATCAAATTTATTAGTATTACGCAGCGGGCAGTTTATTAGTATTACGCTCTTTAGATTTGAATTTGAATATTTTTCGAGATTAAAGGGGGGGGGGGGTTAAACTTGCAGAGTGTTCAGAATTGTTCAGACCTTAAAAGGTTTTTGCATGTTTCGAATAACAGTTATGCGTTTAAGGCAGTACGCGACGAGGAGGAGAGGAAACGTGAAGAACTTGTAGCTGAGTTCTCAGAAAAGGAGGAGAGGCTGCGGCGAGAATTTGAGAAAAGGATGAAGGATTTCGAGACAGAAAAGGAAGAGGAAACTTTATATGCCGAAAGAAAAGTCAGTCCTTTTCCACATTGTTTACAGAATTTTCACTGTTAGCTTTTCACACTCATTCATGCAATCTTATATTGTCCCTTTCCCAAGTACCTTTTCCAAACTGGCATATTTTGAGCCTCGGCAAAAATTGAGGATGTTAACAGACCACTAAATGAAATTATTTTCTATGCAAAGCACTAATGGGTTATTGATCAGATTTCGGAAAAACGCAATGCATTGATGAGGTGGCGAGTTGGCTGTAAATTTCAAAGAAGAAGTGAAACATTAACGGTTAACAGAGATCTGCAGTCAAGCTGGTAAGATCAAATGCTAAAGGAGTGCTGTTGCAGAGGCTAATACCAACAGAATCTCTTAACACATTTCGCCCGTCAGGTGCGGAGTCCTGCTCAAGTCCTGTTTATTCAAGTAACCTATTTACCACATCCTCACTTATCCTTCCATCCGCCCCACTTGCCTTCAGCCTAGTCACATCCTACCTAATGCCATCACTGTCTCGCCTTGCCGCCCGTACTCCCACCAACTTTGAACGCTTCACGCCCAAATTATTAATTTCTGTGCAGGCCCCGCACCTTTTTGCGGAGTCTAGTCTTGTTATGTGCCATCATTGTTCCATCCTGTCGCCTGTACTCCTATCAGTAATAAAAGATCTGGTCGAAATTAGCAATTTTTGCGCATACCCAGCCTTCCTTGGGCGAAGTCTAGTCCTGTTACCTATCAAAAGCGCCTGAACTCCTCATGAATTTGCACTCTCGAGGGCCACGGGAATAGGAGTTAGGAATTCGCGGTCGAGCACACACACGGTTACACTAATACCGACAAAAACGAACCAACACAGCGAGTTATATGTCTATGCATATACATATATATTGAATATGACCCTTATATACAAAACGTCGTAATTATACAAATATGTTATACCAGTCGGATCGCCGGGCTTCCCTCCCTTGACGAAGCTGTAATGAGCGACTAACTCTCCACTCTTTTTCCGAACAATCAGTATTTTTCTACTCGAAATCTGACACAGGAACCAAAGGCTCAAATGGTTCTCACAAATGTTGTCGAGTAATAATGACAGCATTGTAAAATGTCGTTGTCAATGAAGTTTCGTTCTTTACGTGTATATCATTAGTTGAAAATCCGAGGTTATTGGCCATCGGATAAGTTTTGTGCGGAGGAACTCGAAACAAAGAATCTGTGACTCTTCATTGAGTCACAAGCATTGCGGGGTAGGAGTCATAATCTATGGCAAGAAATATACCAATTTCTCATCTTCTTATCGTAGTGCCTCTACTCGGTCGCTTTCATTACATCATCACTCCCTTTTTATCACTCATCTTTACCATACTGTCCCATCGATTGAAACATACTGAAGAGTCAAAGCTACATCGTGAATACCGAAATCGTTAGGATCACGATTTGTAGGTTACTTTTGCTTCCTAGGTCCCTTATCAGCCCTTATCATTTTTTTTTTCAATTCCCGTCATCGAATGTCGCTCTCTCGCATCCATTGGTTCGTTATCTGCCTATATCAGTTGTTATCCTTGTCACCAATCTTGGTCCTTTCACATCGAACACGGTTGAGTGCTAAGGTTTCACTGTTGACACGAAGGGCATTACAACCAGCTCTAGCTTTCTATGGCTCTTTGTCAACCCTTATCGCTTGTTTTCAGTCCTTGTCACCAATCATCTAATCACCTTCACATCCCACGCCACTTACTAAATTGCCGAAGATCCACTTTTAATGCGAAGAGCGTTATAACGCTAGTTCGTTGCCATTCCATATCAATTTTCATCAGGTTTATTAACAAATATCTACTTCTCTTTTAACTCACACCACCTATTAAAGTGTCAAATGCCAAGGCTCCGGTATTGACACGAAGGGATAACGATACAGCGACTCTTGCCTTCCAAGGCTCCTTATCAGCTCCTACCATTTGTTGTAACTTCTTATCACCTACCATCGGTTCCACCACCCCGCGGCCTGTATCCCTTCCAATTTTAAAGTTTCAGGTGAAAGGGGGCATGAGTTAGGAATTTTCGGTCAAACGCACTTCGACCTCCTCGTACCGACCAACCAATGGACACGCTTAGTGTCTATTGGTTGGTCGGTACGGCACGGAAATAGACACGAATAATACATATATAGTAGGATTTTTCAGTATAACTTTGTAACAAGGTTAAGTGTTTGTTTGAAGGTAGCCGAACTCAAAGATTCGTTGATTTCTGCGGCTGAAAAACACCAAGCTGAAGTTGCTGAGCTGATGCAGGAGCACGATGAAATTGTCTCGTCAACACGAAAGCAACAACTCATTGAGCTGGAGGCAGTAACAGCAAAGTAAACAATCAACAGTACCCTAACAGTAGGACCTCTTTTGTGCTCAGCACATAAGAGCGTTGTGAGGCATCCATCTCTTTATTGTTTTCATTCAGGTTGGAACTAGCTCGTGAAGAAGCGGATAAGTTGCGTCTCAAAAATGATACGCTCGAAAAACAATTGGAACAGCTTGATGAGAGTTATACTTCAGAGCGTGCTCAATCAGAGGTCTTTAAATGACTACTGTTCAATTTAATTTCTATAAGAAATTTGTCTTCTAGAGGGTATTGCAAGATCAAATAGACGAATTGATGGAAAAACTGAGAACTCAGGAAGCAGCGTTTCGCAGTCAGGGCGAAGGTGAAATGGCCGCCATGCGGGATTCGTACACACGTCTTTGTGAGGCGAATGATGACTTGAAGAAGAAGCTTGATGAAGTCTCCAGCACGTCCGCTGGGCAATTAGCAGAGTAAGTCATTTCAGTTCAACTGATCGGTGAATTCGCTTCTTAGGGTGACGGCACGTCTCCTCGAATTCCCACAGCCTGCGGCAGCGTTCCCGCGGCGGCTGCCACATCCCTCCATTGGGAATTCAAAGCTTTCCTTTCGTAGCGCGCCATCGAATGCGGCGGCGCGACATGCCGTTCGGGGAGAAGGTGTCGTTCTTCTTACAGGGTTTTTTGTCATCTGCTATATTCTCTTCATTTCGTTCTCCTTTTGTGCCCGTTTTCCCTTTCTACATTTCATGCTGAACCAAGTTTTACTCAATAGCTTTTCTCATTCTCAAAAGCAATTTTGGAACGATGATCAGAGATTGAATCCTTGAATTCTAATCAATATATATATAACGAATTCGAGCGATCTACGTTATGCAGCCTAGATGCTTTTGGGAGATGGTATCCTGCTCCTTTCACAACACATTTATTCATCTCAACTTCTGTTATTCGTTTCTTGTTCTTCTCTTTTCGCTTCAAACATATGTAGGTACAGCAAGTTTTGACAAGAGAGCGGAATACTCGAATCCATTTGTGTATTTTTTCGACTGAAAGCTACCTCGGTTTGTTTCGGCCTATTGAAGAGGAATACTGTTTTTCGGTTCTCCAATGACCAGATAGTGGGTAGAAACATTGGAACTACGTAGATTTATACGACCATCCACCTATCGGATTCTTCCTTACAAGTGCAGAATGAGGGTCGGTTCCGGGTTACAAGGTTTTCACATCACTGACGTCGCACATTGATGTTTAGAAGACTACCTATTCACGACTATTTTGCGGATAAGATATATTTTGCATTGCTACAGCCGGAGACCCTTCGAGTGCAATTATACTACGATTACCTTAGGTGAGTGGGGATGGAGGTGGGGTGACGCCCAGCGGTGAGCTATTACACGTTTGATAAGGTGATCAAGTCCAGCGAACCTAACATCTTTCTGATCAGTTTGTGGTGTCAGAGCTTCATGGAAATATACGACTGCGGCAGGAATTAATCGGCTTCAATAAATTTGTTCTTCAACATTACTTTTTCACCTTATCAATAAACTTGTTTAAACCTGATACTTCCTTCAACGGTATCATTTATGTGTAGACTGTATATACTTGGTGGTCTCATTTAGATTAAAGGGCTTCTATCCTCCTCCCTTATGTCTACTAACTTTCTATTCTCTTTACCATCTGCTGCTTGAGCGTGTACTGTCTACTTTCCCACTTTTTAATTTCCACAACAAATCACTCAATTTATCGTTTCAACTAGCCCATCATACTTCTAAGTGGCGCCATGTTTTTTTTTTGACGCTCTCTAGTTTCTAGATTGTTTCTTGCATTTTTAACAGGTTCGCCTGTGAAAGACTGTTGGCTTTTTTAAGCAGGTCTTCTTTTTGAGTAAGCTCAACGTGTGATGTTTAGGGCGAAAGAGTTGGAGGGAAGGTTACGAGCAGAACTTAGTGATTTGCGAGCCATGTTGGAGTCACGTAACGCTGAGTTTTATCTCGTTGAGAAACGAAAACAGGAGCTCGAAGAAGAGTTAGCCGCTGCTCATGAACTGTCTGCAATAAACGATCGTCTCAGAGCTGAATTGGAAGTAATGACCTTGATTCTATCTATGTAACTGTGTTGCATGATGTGATTTATACAGGAGATTCGTAAACAGCGTGAAGTGGAGGCTTTGGTTTCTCCGTTAAAGGATCGCGCTGGAAAAAATGAAGAAGGTTCGAAAGGTTGGATTTTTTTCACATAGTTCAAGGGTTTATTATGCGCTTTTATTATTATTTTACTTATTGTTATCTTATTTATTTTTGTGTCGTTGTTTTCTTCATTCCAATGGTTTATTCCTTTAGAGGACTGCACTTCTTTGGAGAATGAGTGTTTCAAGCTTGAAATGTCGAATGATGAGCGGAAAGGCGGTCAATGCCCGGGTCCTATTTTGTCTGAAAGCGAATTGGAGGGAAAAGTGGGTTTTTCGTCTACCTTTATGGCTTTGGTTTACTCATTGATAGTTATCAGGACGGCATACCCTCAAACGTAGCCTCGATTTCGGAGTTGAGTGCGCAAACGGCCGGTGAGATGTGTACAAGCGATGAACTTCAACAGCTCCGCTCTGAAGTTGCTCATCTGAGTGAAACGAATACCAGGCTCGCAGCTAAAATCAATCAACTCGAGGCAGAAAACAGCAAAGTGATGATGGCAAAAGATGAGACCCAACGGTTACTCAATGAGCTGAAGAGTGCTAGTGAAACAATGCACGGCAGGGTAGATGAGCCACATCAAGTGGGCAGCTCTGGAGACGAGATTCCCGGCAACTCGCCAAGTGCAGAGTATTTCCGAATGGAAAATCTTCGTTTAAGTGAAGAGCTTAAAAGAAACGAAGGAGAGATTCTCCTTGCTCGTGATTATAAGGCTACTTTGGAAAAGGAACTTCTCGAGTTGAAATCTCAGGTAGGTTTGATGAAGTTTAAGTTTCTTTCCTACATACAGACCCTGTCTCTCATTTGTCATACTTCTTTTTCGTTGCGTTGGACATTTTTCTTCGACTCATCTTCATCCAATTCTTTGCTTCAGCTTCTTCATTCTTTGCTTTAAAGCTCATCATTTTCTAGAAAATTTTTGTGCAACGCTTTTCACATTCTTATCTCAGCAGAAATTTTGCTAGAATTTAACCCTAAATCCCTATGTACAAGTCGGTTAGAGTACGATGCAGTGATTGTTCCAGTAAATTGACGCAGTAACCTACTGTCATTTTTAAATTTTATCTTTCCCGTTTCACAGGTTTTTCCTGTTGTCACATGTTACTTTTTCTTCGGTTTACCCCTTATTTGCAACCACCGCACATTATTGGATGACTTGTAAACCAACTGTAAGTTCGAAGAATGAACGGTGTGCTGTAATCTGACACTTGCCGAATTACTCGATCAATAAGTTGTTTGAGGTGCTGTTGGCCCTCCACTATTATCCGTCACTGCTCGTATTTATTTGTGCCATACTGATTTAGCCTCCCCTTACGTTTCCTTCACAATCCTTTTGTCACTTTCCTATTCTTCATATGAAAACGCCAGTCGGGCCGTCCGGCTAACGCCGGGCTTCCCTCCTTCTCATTCAGAGACTTCGTTGCGGCTGAGTCTACCATGTTAGCTACCATCAATGTTCCCAGCCAGCTCCTTGTGCCTTCAAGTTTCAACGGTCTGGGTCCAAACTAACAGTACTTATTCGCACCCAGCCCTTTGGGGCGGAGTTTAGTCTTGCAACCTATCATCAGTGTTCCTATCCTGCCTCCTGTATTCTTCCAAGTTTGGTCGTTCTAGGTCCATTTTGACATTTCTCTGCAAGCCGCGCCCCCTGAAGGAGTTATGATTTACCGCTTAAACCCTGCCCCTTGCGGGCGGAGTCCGGTCCTGCCACCCACCATAAAAGTCCGCCTGTACTCATGCCAAATTTGAGCTTTCTAGGTCCACAGGGACAGGAGTTATGAATTTATGCCGAAACCCTGCCCCTTGTGGGCGGAGTCCGGTCCTGCCACCCATCATAAGTGTTCTCATGCTGCAGCCTGTACTCCTACCAAGTTTGAGCGCTTTACGTCCACGGGGACAAAATTTATGAATTTCCGCGCGAACATTTATTTTGCACTAACCCCGCCCCTGTGATCGGAGTCCGACCCCGCCACCCACCATTAGTGTTTCTATTCTGCCGCCTGTACTCCTACCAAATTTGAACTCTCTAGTTCGACGGGAACCGCAGTTATGAATTTCCGGTCAAACACACACACAGACAAACCAAGAGACACACTTAGCGCGTTATATATAGTAGGATGTTGACGAATGATTCATTTAGTACATGTCTTACACTCATTTTTAGGTTGCTGAACGACATTCAAAGCTTGATGGTGCAGATGTGCTGATATCTTTACAAGAGGAGAACAAAAGTGGAACAAATGAAGATGGAGAGGTGACAATTCCCTTCGAGTGTTCTTTTGGTTTCCTGACATACTAAGCATCTTCCTATCATGTACTCTTCTTCACACTGATCCTTAGCTTATCCATTACGTCCTACGATTTAAATTCTTTGTGTAGTCAGTTCTCGCCCATAAATTTGTTTTCTGTTTCCGACCCGCTATTTAATTTTAATACCTTTTCCCACATCTTAGCTGTTTCTTCCGTGTTCCTTTTGCAGCAGGCTTCCTTCTAGAATTCTAGTCGTTATTTGCCACACTTCAACACGGCAATACACACAATTAATCGTTTAAGCAATCCCAGTGTTCCCTTCACAAAAGCATTTTTATGAAAGAGAATAATGTCGATAAGAACTGCTCCCCACTCAAAGTAGGTGCAAAAGTGTTTTGAATTTTAAAGCCGAGAACGGAACTATGGGCTATTTAGTACTGAGCTGATTTTGGTGGGCCTGACATCTACGATTTGAAGAATATCACAGGTAGACTGCCTAGTAGTAGATGTTAATAGTCGGAAGGCCAAAGAAAAGTTTATGAAATAGCGATATATTTAGTGAGCATATCTCCTTTTTCAGTTGCATCCTAATGGATCTCCTCACCGTATCTCTTTATTAGAAGAACAGCTCCGAGTTCAACGTGATGAGGTTGAACGACTGTCTCAACTTGCTACAAGCGAATCTCAGCGTGCTGACGAGTGAATATTATTTCAAAGTTCCTACAGGTTACAACATATACGTAAGAATAGCTTCAGGGTTCAAAACGTTTTGAAAGAGAAAGCAGCTGAGCTAGAATCGTTAATGAGAGAAATCAAACAGAAGGATGGTATTATTGCCGGACTGGAAGATGAACTGGAGAAAGTAAGCAGAGAAGAGGTAGGTTTTCTATATTGCTGGCGGATGTGGAGATCTAGGATGAAATATCTGTGGATGGCATGTGGTAATGTTTTATGTGTGTTTCTTGTTTTATATTTGTAAATGTCATAGATCAGAACCTAGATCATGACAGTCTAGTCGATGTGCAAACACGTGAAGAACGAGAGAGTGTTGATTTTATTTATAGTGCCATTCATTAGAATACTAACGTCATCTAGAAGAGAGGCTTACTATTCTGAGTGCTTTTGTCGTCGAATTACCCAGCTCACTCGCTTATAGGATAACTCGCTTTGCTGGTTAAGGACTTCTCTGCCAGATTCAGTTCAACTAATATCTTTTCTATGAATTAAAAGTTTCGTAGCATTTCAAAATACTGGAAATTAAAAAAGGAAGCTGCGAGCATAAAACGGGCAATATTGTGTGGTGTTGAATGCAAAATTTCAATGGATCAGCAAGAAAGTTTACTAATAGGGTGTCCAAAAAGTTGTGAAGAAAATTTTGCTTCTCGTGTTTGGAAGCATATTGCTCGCGAGTGCCCCTCTCCCTGCTATCGCAATAGTCCTTCTTTAGCGCACGCAAGCTAAAGAAGGACTATTGCGATAGCAGGGAGAGGGGCTCTGTTAATAGTGTATTCGACGTAGTCATTCGAAGTAAGTAATCGGCGACCGAACGATGTACCACGGATAAGACTACCGGGGCCTTCTGTTTCACCATCAAACCCATCGCTTCGACACTCAGGCTTGGAATGAAATATGGTGGCCTATTGGCAGCGTGACTCTCTATTGTCACCTACCATAAAAGTCAAGATCGCTTCCTTTGAGAAGTGGTTTGCTTCGGCGAAGTTTCTCAAAGCGAACGTGCACTGGCCTCAAATACCAACACTGTTTTGAACTCCCGTCAGAGCAATCCTCAAAGTCACAAGAAATGAGAAGGACGATCTTCACTACGCAATATATCATCCACGAGATTCTGCGCAAAAGTGGCTTCCAAAGCAGGACTCTTTGCAAACATCGCAACTACTTTACTGAGCAGGGCGCCGAGTGCGAGTCAGTGTGTCAGCAGCTACTCGAATGTAAGCTAACGCCGACATAAACCGACTTCATTATTCACAAAGGCCATCTATTTTGGAACTTCACGCAACAAATCATGGCTGATGGCGACAGAGGAAGGCAATTTGGACATTTTTAGCTTTATGTAGTCAGCTTCTCACGTTATTACAGAGATCTTTCCGAATACCTCTTCCACGCCATTTCGTCACTGTGATCTTGTGCGGCCTCTATTTTCACTACTTTTGAGAAGCCGTATTTTTCTCGAATTTGACGTGTTTTTTTCTTTTTCTTTTGCCACCATGCACTGTTCTTCGCTATCTCTTCCATCTCTTGGCGCATTTGCTAAATCTGTGAATCCTTCTGTATTAGTTGTTGTCAAAGCTCATGGGATGTTTTCTTCTCTACACTGAGCGCTGCAGACAATATCGTAACTCGCATGGTCACTTCTGAGTTGTGGCAGTGTAGGGTTCCGCACACCTCTTTCATTACGTTAGTCACTGCTGCACATTTACTCATGTGCTCCTGCAGCTGGCTCACTCTGGTAATATTGCCTTCTCTTAAAAGCTCGAAAACGCGTTCTACTTTTTTAGGCCTACTCAGCTCGCATGTCTCAGCGAGTGTTGCCCTAGCGATTTTTTTTTTAACAAAGCAACTTGCTCGCTTACTGACGCTACCACGCTCCCCCTTCTGGGATCATCGGCACGCATCGATCTTGCCAGCTCATTATCACACGTGACACTGATAGCAGTCACACGGCTTAGTAGCTTATTTGATAACCTGTCGAAGTTTTTCAAGACCTACATTTTCACTCAACATCTCTTCATCCTCGAGAGTGGATCGAAGGAGCTTTTCCTTGTTCAGATGTGCCATACTGACTATGGAAATAAATAGTATTAGCAGTGTTTAGCTTTTATAATGGCACGATTCTCGGCGGAACAACCTGCGATTACGATATACCGAAAATCTCGATCAATGAAGAAAACGGAGCTCGATGATAAAAAAATGTGGACAAAAGGAGCGGTGATAAGTCTCAAAACTGAGAGAATGAGAGCACGCTGAAAGTTGCTTGGATACTGACAATCGCTTCTGATCAGTAGTTCGTAGTCAAAGTCACGGCTCACACGACCGGAGTTCAACACCAACCTTTCCTTGATCCGGAATCACAAATTCGCGAACTATTCAGATTTCGTTCCCGTGCCACTTGACAATTGATTCCTATTTACCAACCACAAGTCGAATTCACTGCGTATACTTCCTAAATTTGACCGAAGTTTCCCAACTCATTCGAAGGTCACGACCGTAAGTCGGACTTCGATCTTATCGCTATCAATCGAATTTGTTCCGATTGGTGCACTGTCGAAGTCACGGCTTACACCACCGCAGTTCGACAAGCTTTCTCATTCGATCGAGGGTCACACGTGTAGGTCGGAGCTCGATTCATCACTCGACTTCCTTTCTTCATGATACAATGTCGAAATGCAAAGCCAGCGCAAAAACGGCAGCGCCTTGAGGATCCGAATTATTAACCCAGCCTAGTCGTCCCAACTCGAGGTTCACTTCGCTATCCACTACACCATCCGTCGCTGCCAGCAGCTCATCCGTGGTCAGCTCCTATGAAACTTCCCCGCACTTTTCAACATGTAGCTCAACAATATCTCTTTTTTCACGTTATTTTCAATGCGCAGTCCACTGGCGCCTTCTACTGTGCGGACAGTCGACGCCATGATGGTACAAAGGGAGCCCTTAGTGGGTTAAAACGGCAATTTCTGACAAAATCATTTTCATTCTTTTTTTTTTGCCATTCAGAAGACCATTTAGCGGAAATGGACAGTAGTTCCGTACTCAGTGCTCGTGCCCCTACACCATGCGAGAAACCATTTTCAAAACGCGTCCCATGCTTGAAAGGCTTCCCTCATTAGTCCTTAGTGTCTACACTTCGAGAGAGAAGCGCACGCCTTAAAGGCACAGTTCACGATAATTTTGGGTAATCCAGAATATGGAAAATAGATGGAAGATAATATGGAAATAGTGTGATGAAGGCGAAGGAACTGTGCGAATCAGTGTTTTCAAAGTGAAAAAGGCTTCGAAAAGTCGTTGAAAAGGGGCTGAACGAGAATGAAACCCGGAGAAAGAAGAAGAGTGAGGTGTTCGCCAGGAGAGAGAACACTGGCACTGCACCAAGGCCACCACTGCGGCCATTGCGGGCAACTGCGCATTTCTACCGTCACTACGTCTTCATGCTCTGAGCATGCAAATTTGAGCTGCTCATAATTTTTTTAGTAGACTCATTTAGCAGTTTTAATTCCTAACTAGGTAAGTTTGTAACACTAGCGGTATACCTGAGTTTCTATCCAATGTTCCATGCAAAGATGAAACCCTTCCGTGGTAGGGCGAGGCGCATACATCTTTGATGACTTCATTGCCATAACAAAGAGATTTGCTCAGATACATGGTGAAGCCGTGGTCTACTGCAAAACTTATTTGGCCCATCTCAACGAAAAAGTACTGAAGCGATGCTGCGTGCGCGAAGAGCTCTGATGGGGTCATGCGTGAATCGCGCGCCCCCCGTTTTGGACGGCAAAAACCACAAGCAATAATTGGAAATTTACACATCACCCCGCCACATAGCTCTGATCTTGCGCCATCTCAATACTTATTTCTGTCATTGCAAAACTCCCTGAACGAAAACCTCCGCCGAAAATGAGGATATCGAGATAGGTTCAGTTTTTTGCTGAAAAACAGACCGGAAATTCTACGTGAGAAGAGCTATGAAATTGCTAGGAGGACAGAGAAAAACAGTCGAACAAAGAGGGGTCCATATCGTTGATTCAAGTTCGTTCATGGAGAAAAGCTTTTTTTAAATGAAACGTTCGGAAATCGTGATCACCTTCCGATAACATTATCTGTATATGACACTGTGACTGTCGATTTCCACAGGGAACAGCTACGAATTTTTAAGCGGACGTTTGATCGACGGTAGACATTCTTGGTGAACTCTCGTATTTCATTAACGACGCCAAACCTTTAATCGATTTCAATCGAAAAGAAAATTGAATCCAAGGCAATAAAGTTCAATTTATTTGCTGTTCATAATCCTTCTTATGGCCTCTTTTGCGCTTTCTTCCACCGTGATAGTCCAACATGGATAAATAAAAGGAAGAGCCTTCAGTGAAGTGACTATTTTAAGTTGCACCGACCACACTATATTAAAAATGCGTGCATTCTAGCCTATCCATCAAAAGCGTAAAAATTTTGATCTCGAAAGTGAAGCAAAACATTACCAATACTCTGTTCCAATATACTGAACGTAGTGAGCCTTTATTATAGAAAGCAATGAGGTCGCAGTGTGCTGACTATGAGAATCACTGCAGACAGCTGGAAAGCCGGATAGAAGAATTGGTTCAAGAGCAGGAAAAGTTGCATTCTGCCTTGATCGAAGAACGTGCATTAGTGGAGAGGTTGGTTTTCAAGCACGGTCACTTCTTTTTGTCTTTTTACTTTTTTCTCTTCTCCAGTAGTCATAGACACTTTGTTGTATTCCTGCTTTTGAAGTTGTTGCTTCCTTCCTTATGTCCAACTCTGAAAACGAAACGAAATCTGTTCTGCTGGGCATCATTCTGCCAATAGACTGAGTTGCAGATAGATAAGCGAAGAACTTTCTTTTGTACCCTATGGAGGAATTGGAGATCTCTAAAAAAAGCCTCCTTTTTAAGAAAACGTGATCTTGTTTGTAGCAAAGCTATATTAAGCGTTAAAGGCACATTTCACGGTAATTTTGGGGTATCCGGTTTTTGACGAAAAATGTTAGGTACGGGCGAAAAACGATGAATGAAAAGAAATAAAAAGCTTAAAAGAAGAGTAGAAAAGGGGGGCTGGACGAGTTAAAAAAACGGCGGCTAAGGGAGTTTTCAGGCGCAACTGCACACGACACGCTCGAACGGCTGATTTTGGCTTCCTCGTTAATATTAGTCATTCTAATGCTGATATTAAACTAGATTATTGTGCCTGATCCTTTTGATGACGGCTGAGAATAATTATTTAGAACAGAATAGAGCAGAATATTAGTCGAATAGTAGGAATACAGCCGAATACTATTACCAGTAGGAGGCGGTCGACTAACTTATTGATTTTTCACTAATGTTGCTCCAATGCGAAAGTGGTGAACGGCAATTAGATTTCGTAGTCAGCCTAGCGAGGGGCGGAGGCTGACCGTGCTCCACTCTCCGGCCCCTATTGTGCCCTATCCAGAACGTTTTTCGACTTCATTCCGGCACATGTGGTATCAGAGGGGGCCCCGAATTCATATCATGTGCAAATCTCCGAAACCATTCTCATCGTGAACCGTGCCTTTAATTCATAGGGAACTCCGAACCACAGCATTTCCTTAATGGACCAAATGGTTCTAAAGTCATGTTTATGATTGCTTGCTTTTACAATTTAACACAAGCGTATGCTAGGATCTTTTTGATTGTTCTATCAGTTTCCATGGCAATCCTATGGCAAGGTTATATGAGGTCTAAGACATCTTTGCTGAATCCTAAAAACCTGAAATTGCTCAGGCTGGGACTATCCTTAAGATCTTCATTACTCTGTGCGTCGCACTGTTACGGCTCAGGCATCGCAGCTGTGGACGATGTAGGCGGTAACAACTCGGTGACTCAGCACATTATCCACACTGGTTTAATGGATCTGAAGTGGGCAACATGAACACAGTGTGACAATCCTATTCGTGCGTCGTCAATTAACTGCTGGCCCTTCCGAAGCGGAATCTCATAGCGGGTTTTGAGGCGACTACGTATGGAGTCGTAACTTTCCTAGTCTTCGACAATCAACATTTTCCCGGCTCCAACCCCTTGAGAATTGCTGAGCGGTTGCTTAACAGATCTGTCACCTTGTGAGCGTCAATGAATTCTATTGAATCCCTACTGTTTTCAGTACAACTGCTTTCAGTTCGACAGCTTCTCTTCGGCAACTACAAAATAGCTTAGCTGAGGAGGAAAAACGTGCTCTTGAGCTGCAACATGTGCTAGAGGAAAAGCTTACTCAATCAGCAAGTTTAGAGTCAGAAGCTGAACTCAAAGAAGAACAACTCAAACGCGAGATCAGTTTACGAGAAGATCAGGTATGTACGATCTGGTATTCCGATTATCAACCATGCATCCTCTCTTTGTTGTCCTTGAGCTGCTGAATGAATGGATTTGGCTAGTGGTTGTATCATTTTGAAACCCAGGAAGTGGGCTTTTTCGAGAAAAATGGGGAAAATTGCACATGTTCTGGAGGTGGGGCTCGCTGTAGTCTACAAGTTTCAACAAAACATACTTTCCATACTGAGAATTTTGCTGACTGCCCTGTAACGTGAGCTTTGGTGAAATTCATGTGGCCGTATCATTATTTAACGCACTGTGGATTCAGTTGCTGTTCTCAGCTGAGAAGCTTTGAATACATTGCTATGAGTTGGCGCCCATGACTTCGAGACGCCAAGTGGGTGTGTTGTGCGTGTATGTGTGTAGGCTGATGAGAACACGCATGGTATGTAATACCACTAGACTCCCTCGCGGGGTTTTGGTGAGAATTTTTAATTGGGCCTAGGGTGTTGCTGCTAGAGAACAGGCAGCAGTATGGGAACATTGATGGTAAGCAGCACGACTGCAGGGCACGTAATCTGAGTAAATTTGTGCAGTCAAGTTGAAAAAGGAAATAAATGATCAAAGTTTAGTGGAACTCCTCTCATGACGGGCGAGCCGTTAACGAGTCGTGTGTATGTGCGCGTGTGTATGCATGTTTGGTGGGAAATTTACACTTCTTTTCACTGTACTAGAGCGTCTGAATTTGAGAGGGATGTTTTACGAGAGGTGTCCGGCGTAAGCTGAGTTTACGAAAACAAGGGTGCCCGCAATACGCATTCGAAAGTATGACAGAAGGGATTTTGAACTTCCAGGTAAAAGATTGCCTTCATTCACTTGCATTTCATCAACTAATGGTATCACTCGCTCTCTGACTGAATATGGCTTGCAAGCGATCATGTAATGAACAATATCTTTTTTTTTTCGACTTTCATGGTGATTCGCTTACCGGTATTTTGCCATTAATGTATTCGTTCGAATTTTCACTGTTGGCGCTTAAAACCTTCAGTACCCTTTTGACCATCAAACAGCAACTATAAAGCTTGCTTCTGTTTTTTCACGCTCTCGATGTTGATTTTTCTGTTTTCCGAACAGGTGGCATCCTAACCTTGACATGCTCGTAGGCAGCTGACTTTTCAGGCGCTTTCAGAGTACAGCGTTGAGCGTTGGGCACGGACCGTCGGAGATGCTTTAGCGTTCGCCCCTCCGCTGTCGGAGTTTGCGCTTGAGCATATTTTCAAAGTAGGGCTGTGTAGAGCATGAATGATGTGATAGTGATATGTACGAAGCAATGAAAACTAGATCAATGTTATCAACCGCCGACCCGTACATTACCGATCAGCGACGGTTATGTCAGCGGTTATCTCTGAACTCTCTAGCAGGGTTTGTTGTACAGCGAATTAGTGGGCTGTTTTCAGGAGAACCTTGTAACTGAACTTCGTAAAGAAATTGAAAGAATCCATTCTGAACATAAGGAAGATGTTGCAGCTGAGTCCAGCAAGTTAAATAGCGCCCAGGTATTCGATATATTTATAGGACTAGATGTTATTGCTCATTGTGTTACTAATCTGTTCTAAATTGAAGTTAGGTTTTCAATATTCAACGCTTACTTATCTTCATTATTTATTCAGGCTAGAATAGAGCAACTCGTTGCAAAAGAGACGGAAGACAAGAAACTGCTAATGGACATGCAGTCGAAGGTTGTGATCGCTGAAGAGAAGCTACGAGACATCGAGAAGACACGCGAACAAGAGAAATACGAAGAAGAGCGCATAAGGTCGTCCACGAATGAATAAAACGACTGACTTAATTAAGCATGTTTGAACTGAGAACCACTTCCATAATTGGAATTCAGAGAACAGTATGCCAGTGCCTTGGAAAATGTCAAGCAAGAACTAGCTGATGCTCATAAGCGCATACGCATGACGGAAGCCTCTGAAGCTGAGTGTGATCGTTTGAAACAGGAGCTCGAACAAGTTAAAAACGAGTGTGAAGAGAATGCTGCAAGACATCAGGAGGTGAGACATTACAAATGCACGTGTGGCTCGTTTGTTTAATCTCTCCTCATTTTAGGAAACTGATGCGACCATAAAACAGTTGAGGTCAAAAGCTGAAAAGAAAATAGCGAAGATTAAAGCTGCTGCCGAAAAGGATGTCTCTTCTGTGAAAGCTGAGCTTCTTCTAGAGGTTCTTTATTTTACTTTTCTTCCTTACTCGCGACGATCTTCTACACGCCCACAGGTGGACCAACTTCGACGTGATGTATCAGAACGTGACCGTCGAATAGATGAACTTACATTGGAAAAAGCGCGCACAGAGCAGCAACTTATTGCTCAGCAACAGTTAGAAGAAGAACTAGAACAACGGCGATTGAAGGAAAAGGAAGTTAGTTAAGTGCATCTGAATATAATGATGTGGAATTTTGCTGCGGTTCTTGACTATGGTAAGTGTTGTAAAGGAAAGGATGGGTGCAGCTTGTTTGATGCCTAATTGCTAGTTGTAGATATTTTACAATGTTTTTTCTCTTGTTTGATTAACTTTTTTTTTGAAGATGAACGAATCTCGGAAGAGTATTGAAAGGCGGATCTTGGAACTAGAAGCGGGAAATCAACTGCTGGAGAAAAAGAATATCGAACTCAATGAATACAAGGAAAAGAGCGAAGCACAGGCTGAGGAAAGCGATAGGAATTTGAAAGAACTTCAGGAAAAGGTGGTTAATGCAGTAGTTGGACTTTTTACGGCGATCGCATTGTTTTGTGAACTAGAACTGGTACATCCAGAATGAGGATTTATCAGGTTTTTTAATTAGGTGCCTACAGATCACGGTGATCAATCACTGGACGCTGTTCTGATTTTCGCGCAAAGCGCGTTAAACAAACCCAATGATTTAACAGTTAACAATCCTCTCATCGGTTTATCTGTGATCAGTTCGACTAATGAACCTTCCAGTTTTTTCTGATTATCTTTTGTGGGCCCGCCCTCGACGGAGCCGTTCGAGGGCAGATGCTCAAACTGACCCCTCAGGCTGTGGAATCGGGCAGAAGTTTGGATGTGCTCGCACGATGGATAGCGTAGTTGAGCTATGACTCCGACGCTGAACTCACATACGAAGCATGGTAACAAGATATGTTTACATTGGACGCTCAAATGCTCGACGAGTCACCTAGAATTTGGCTCTTTCTTCACAAGCTGGATGCTGCAGCTTGTTGCAAATACTCCATTTATATTCTACTTGTCACAACGAGAAACTCGCAACACTCAAAGACTCTCCGGACCAGAACAGTCGTGATTCAAGCGCCGCTACGTCCGCATGTATCTATCCAGGGATCACAACTTTGACGTGTCAAACGTAATTGTGCTGGCTTCAATCCGGCAGGGTGCAAAGAAGATCCAGTGTCCAATATTCGTAAGTGGTCTGCGATGGAGCGATAACGCCTTTACTCGCGTAAAATTGCCCGACAAAAACGAAGCCAATCGGAGGTGTTCGTCGAGTCATTCACGGAGTAATGACTTGGCTCACTATCTGGAGCAGGACAAGAAGATGGTGGAAGATGGAACACCTGACGTACATGCAGTGAGGCGTTCGTTTACTAGCCGGACCCATCGCCGCTCTATAGAAACAATTGCCCACATCTGAAGAGGAAATACATCCACATGCTCATCGAAGCTGCCTCCAGTTCCGTGCTAATTCAGTGAGCAATGCATTTCGTCCGATTTTGCGCATATCGGCCACACAAATGCCCCGCCTTGCTACGGAGTAGGTTACAAGAAGAATTTTGTGACCTTATATTCTGTGACGGCGCTACGCGCCTTTATTATCAACGAGTCGACATCGGAATCGATGGGCAAACCGCACCTGCAGTCTACGCCGCCCGTCGCTACTGCGTCTAAAGGAGTTCGAAGCCAGTTCGTAGGACAACTAAATTAAGCCCATGTGCAGGGAGGTTTCACGTACTCAGGAGATACCTTCGGCCGTACTCAGCCTAATCTACTAGGCTATGGATTTCTGAAATGGGAATCCACAGCATCGTCGATCCTGCATATTCAGCCGCAGTCATTGTCAGCAACAACTGTTCAAGCGCTGATTGCATTGCGGAGAAGGTATAAGGTACTTATCCAAAAGTATTCACAAGCGACGTCGTTCAGTCGGACAGTACGAATTCTAAAAAAACCACTCATCGGCTCAAGGAGGATGCGAGACCAGTTTCTGCCTGAAACGACCGGTGCCGTATGCAGCTCTTCCAGTCATAAAGAAGGATTCTTAAGGACTCGGAGCAAATAGATTGGTTTCGAAGGCCAATTATTTGGAGCAGGCCGCACCTACAGTTATTGTGCGAAAGTCGAATGGATCACTGAGAATCTGCTCTCATTTTCCAAGGGGCTTTAACGATGCTTTGGATCTCCATCAGTATCCACTACCTTTCCCCGGAATTCTTCGATCCTTGCCGGCCGAAAATATTTCTCTCATATCGATTTCTTACCGTACGCATCTCTCCATGTCGAAATGTTTTCAACAATCGAAGCAGTCGTTGACTATTAACACCTATCGGAGACCATCAGTACAACAGGCCACCCTTCGGCTCAGTACACGTGGATGACGTCATAGTTGTGGACCACAGAAGAGAAAGCAGGAGAAACCTCTACGCCGCTTTCAGATTGCTGTCAGCGGACTCTATTCGGGCATGGAAAAATGCCAGTTTGCAAAATAAAAATTGAAGCAGTCACCAAGATGCCATACTCTAAGGACATCTCACAACTTCATTTCCTTTTAGGACTTTTGAGCTACTCCTATGGTTTCGTAAAATAAATGCAATGTCCCTCACGACGCTCTCTCAATGAAGTTGTGAAACTTGATTGGACGAAGAAATGCAAAGCCGCTGATGCATCAAATTACGGATTGGGTGTAGTGGCCTCACACTGTTATAAAGACGGATCTGACAAGGCAGTCGCACATGCTCACTACTGCCATGTGGAAGGGATTACAGCCAAGTTGAAAAAGAAGCAGATGCGCCTATATTCACCGTGAGGAGATTCCACAGGGTGCTTCATGGACGCAATTTCACGCCTTCAATTACGACAAGCCCCTGCTTGTATTAGACTCAAGAGGGGAAATACTAATCTACACTACAAATCGATTATGTAATGGGCAACAACTTTTCCGGCACACTGTTTCAATATACAGTTGACAGGAGCTTCAGACAAGCAGATGACACTCATGCCCTATTACAACGCACACGGAAGAAGGAGTTATCGCCACCATTTCTGTGGATAAAGACATCAAACACACTTCCGCCAATGCAGCTCAAGCACTACCGGTCACCGCGGATAAAGTCAGGAAACGGAATGTTGAGGATCATATCCTCCAGCAAGGCAACAGCTACCTCGGTGGAGTATGGTGGACAAAAATTACGATTCGGAAATTGCTCTGTTTCTAGAATTCGGACACTCATCGGTCGATGGATGCCTATTAACGACCGATCAAGCAAGAACTTGCAATCACTTGCTCTTCGGCAGTTAGACAACGTTTTCAGAAACGGACGCATGATTCAGAAAATTTTGCGCAAATCACGGAAGTCAGTGTGTCTCTTCCCCGCCATTTCATTCACAATTCTATGGACAAGCGGAGGGATTCGTTTGATAGAGCTCTGTCGACATTGAAAGTGAATGGAACGCGCAGAAATTTTGCAGAACTCTCGACTGACGTTTCTCTTTTACTCAAATCCGACGAAAACAAATCTCCGACAGAAGTTGTTGGAAGAAAACTCCCTCTCTTCAAGCCAACCATACAGCGGAAATCAGGGCGAATCATTCAATGGAATAACAATTCATTGAGCATCGTGGCACCCTGAATTACCTTTTCGACACAAGAGACATATGTACCACTGGCACGTTAGTACAATGGAAATCGGGAACAGTGGAGTGATGATAAAGACCTGCGTGTTGGGCGAGTACTCTACAGAGTACTTTTCCAACTCACAGGTCTACTTCATCACTTCTGTAATACACTTCTGTATTCGTCATAGCAACCTGCAACTGCCCTATTACGATTACGATGATTTCAATCAACTACCTTATCACCAGAACCAGCACAGCATGTTGAGTAAGCAAACCAATGATAAAAGCAATGACTACCAGCCACGACGATCGACATGCACACGACGGCCAACGACCCTTCTTCGAGTTAGTCCGCCTCAGGAGACCTCTTTAATTATGACCTGAAAATATCACCACCTCTTTAATTATGACCTGAAAATATCACCACCCTTTTCATGAAGAAATTACACAAAACAGTTCCCTTGAAAAGGGTGGTGTTAGTTATCCATAGATTACTGAGATAACTAGGCGGTCATCTGACTTCCGTGCCTAAACCAAGTACATAAACCCAGAAATCTTTTAGTTTCCAGTTTCCTCATCTATTCGTCTGTAGTCGGTTCGACTATTATACCTTCCTAATACTTTCTTGCAAGGGAAGAGTAGTAGGTCGCGGTGAGCATTTAAGGTGAGATGTATACCGTCGTAAGGCTTCCAAACGCTGATCTCAAATCTGTGTTCCAAATCTGCTAATATTCTGGGAACAAAGTTACAGATCCTTTTTCTCCAGATGCCATGTCACTGCCACACCACCACCCAGCACTAGTCTAACGTGCAGCGATAGCGCAGTTGGGAGGACAGTGGACTGGTAGGTGTGACCAGAAGTTCGCGTCCTTGGTGCGCACCGTATAGAGTACCCACAGTACTCCTTCATTTTCAGGGAACCCCATAACTGCTTATACAAAGAATTTTTTTATTGCCTGCACAGACCGAACAAGAATACATATGCATCCTTCTACTGCGAGCAATCAAATGAGGCTACGGATTTCGGCAGAAACTCAGGCTGGGTTGAGTTAAAAGGCTTAGTGCATGTATAGGTATGAGAATCCAACACAGAGTGTTTTAAACAGAAAGTTTCTCACCAACGTATGAAAGAAAAGTTCACATACTCGTACTCTCATAATTCCCGTCTAGTTGAGATGATGAACATATTGCACAGGAACTTCAAATTCTTCCGGGTCTCTGTCCAGGTACCCTTCTGTTAACCATGAATTAGAACGAAATTTTCCAAATCTAGGTGCGCTCAGCAGGCACACTAGTGAGATAAAGTGAATCATGGAATTGTGGTTGCTAATGTGGAAAGAGACGGTACGCTCATACATGGCTTCGAACGGCAAAATCGAGATCGAGAAGCTCAATTTCAGTAGTTGTGCCAGGTAGAATGTTGAGCCAGTTGGCAAAGCACCCTGAATTGCTTCATGGTCCACAACCGAACACCATGGATCGACAACCAGTAGGGATGAAGGCAAATCTGTTGATCGAACACCGATCTAACCCAATCCCGCCTGATTTTCTGCCGAAATTCGTAGCACTCATTTGAGTGCCCGAAGTAGAAGGGCGCATGTGTATTCTTATTCGGTGCAGACAATGAAAAATTTATTTGTATAAGCCTCCTTGTGAGACTTTCGCATCGCGTACTGCGGCTTCGCATCGCGTACTGCGGCGATATAACAGCGGTTAACAAATATCAAGTCAAAAAAGATCAAAACAGTTCGCCTTTGCCTTTCGAAGAGGCTTGGGCGCGACGCGACCGCGTCGAAATGTCCCGTCTGCCTCCCTTCCCCCTCCTAGCACTACCTCGGCCGGCACGCCGGCACGCCGGCCGGCGAAAGCAGCCACAGACGTAACATTTTAACCTTAAGCACGTGTTTCTTTAACTAGTGACCCAATCATTTTTCGATATTTTCAGATTAGAACTCTAGAAGGCGTGAACGAGGAGGGTTTTCGAAAAGCGGCTGTCAAACAAGATACCGATCATAAGAAGGCGAGTGAAAGAAATGAGATTTGACACTCACCTCTTGAAACTTGTTTTCGCTTTTAGGCCGTACGCGAACTGCAAAGAGAGGTGAGACAACTCTACGTGGAATTGAATGAGAAGACTGATGCATTAGATGTCGCACGGATTCGGATATCTGAATTGGAATCGAATCCTTCAAAGTCGTGCGAAGAGGCTGCAGTTCAAAGGCAGATTCACGAAGATAACGTTTCTCCAGATTATGGGGTAGGAGAAGAGATTTTTTTCACTTTATATCGTTCTTTTTCACAGATTTCGGAATTCTCTTTGAAAAGAATAAGGACATTGTTTTGGTTGGTGCGATGTACTCGTTATGTTATACGTGGTGAGAAGTGGTAAAACATCCCTGAAACAACAATATTTAGGCTTCTGAAAACAGTAAGTATCTCTATTATTGCAAGGTTTGCAAGCGTTATAAGTCAAAAGGTGTTTAACTCTTTTCATGTTTTCATTTCGAAGCGCCATTCGTAAAGTTGGTGTTTATTAATAGGACAGCTTTCACGCGCAAACCAAGAAAAGAGTAAAAATATGTCATGAACTATAAATTCCGTAATCGACAGAGCATTTCTTCGCTGAAAAAATCGACCCGAACCATGAGGAATGTGCTGCACGAATACCCATCTACACAAATCTGTAGGTGCGTCTCGGGATCGAAATATAGTTCAACCGTCAGCCTTTTGCATATGTATCTCAACTGACGATGCTAACAGAAATTATTAGAAAGTACCTGAGGCAAGGTGGGAACAGTAATGGTGGGTCGCAGGATTGCGCCATAGGGGGCGGGGTTTTGTCAATTTGGCCCAGGGCGTACTTATTGTAGATGGGAGGACCGGACCCAACCCATAGAAAGCGGGGTGTAAATGGCTCTGGGGCGCTTAAACTTGGTAGGAAGACAGGAGAAGGTATGCGAAAATTATGGTGAGGAGTAGGACCTGACTCCGCCCACTGGGGGGTGGGGGTTTGTGAAATAAATGTCTAAGCCAAAATCCGTAATTCCTGATCCCGTGGATTTGTAGAGCAAAATGAATAAGAGTATAGGGGCAGGATGGGAACACTGACGATAGAGGAGGCCTTACCAAGGAGGGGTGGTCTACTTATCTTGAAACCTTGAATGGAGACCCAGATGAATCGATAGAGTTTTGAATGCTGTTTACGAAACTGGAAATTAAAACTGCAAAATGGTTCTCCTTATAAAGTTATGGGGGTCCGAATTTTGCTCGACAGTAGTATCAATTTGATATGCGAACTCGTCGCTTACATATCAAGTGCCTACTTGGCCTAGTGGTAGAGCCTCGCTTCATGGGCGTAAGATGAGGATTGCTCCCGGCCATTGTCCGCATTTTTGCAAAGTGTTTTTTCGTTTCATTGAAGGCTCCCTAAACGTTTTGTGACATTTCTGCAACGAACACCTCACTTCTGCTTTTATTTTCTCTCGTCGCCCTTATTCAAGGAAAGTGGTTCTGCACCTTAATAGTACGACTTTTTTATTTTAAAATTCAAGGAACATTCCACAGAAATTTAATAGAGATGTGTAAGATGCCTGCAAGGAACTCGACACTGATGGAAAAACTTTGAAAAAAATGCGTGAAACACACATGTTGCCCACAAAGTGCACACCTTGTACATGCTGATTCTCTACATCCGGTGACAAAACAGTCAATCGTCTCAAGACTAAACGAATACTCAGCCGGTGTGAAGCAGGAACCTGGGNATGCCTGCAAGGAACTCGACACTGATGGAAAAACTTTGAAAAAATGCGTGAAACACACATGTTGCCCACAAAGTGCACACCTTGTACATGCTGATTCTCTACATCCGGTGACAAAACAGTCAATCGTCTCAAGACTAAACGAATACTCAGCCGGTGTGAAGCAGGAACCTGGGTATTCATCAATATACTCAGCCTGGGGGTGTGGTGCGATTCACGCGTCAATATAATGAGGTCATCGGACAAAAAGCGCTAAAACGTCAGCCTACCATCTAACGGAAGAAATAAGAAGTTATAAATAGAATAAGTAAGAAAATGACCAACTATGCACGTTTACAGAAGCATTGCGTTTTCTAGAATCAAAAAATTTGAAGTTATTCTTATTTTGAACGTTTGACAAGTAAATTGTTGACCTATGAGGTGAATTTCTAATCTCGAAGGGACTTCACTGCCATAGTGAAGAAATTTGCTCTAATTCTTGGTGAAGCCGTGGACTACTGCAAATTTATTTGGTCCATCTCAACAGAAAGGTACTGAAAAGATGCTGCGTGCGCGAAGAGCTCTAATGGGGTCACGCGTGAATCGCGCGCCCCCCCTAAGCCTGGTGCCAAGAGTACCAAGAGCATGTCAAAAAATTAGAAAAACGTGATGCATTAAACATTCGATAGGTGCGCATGCATAAGTTGCGCAGTTTGTGAACAACATGTGTGTTTCACGTATTTTTTCAAAGTTTCTCCGTTGGTGTTGAGTTCCTTGCAGGCATCTTACACGTCTCTAGTAACTTTCTATTGAGTGTTCATTGAATTTTAAAATAAAAAAGCCTTACTATTAAGGTGCAGAAGCACTTTCCTTAAATAAGGGCGACGAGAGGAAATGAGAGCAGAAATGTGGTGTTCGTTGAAAATGAAAAAAAAACGTTGAAAATGTCACAAAACGTTTAGGAAGTCTTTGGAGAAATGAAAAAACAATTCGCAAAATGCGGACAATGGCCGGGAGCAAACCCTAACCTTACGCTCATAAAGCGAGGCCACCACCACTAAGCCACATGGGCACTTTATATGTAAGCGACGAGTTCGCATGTCCAATTGATACTACTGTCGAGCAAAATTGGGCCCCACAACTTTATAAGGAGAACCATTTTGCAGTTTTAATTTCCAGTTTCATAAACAGCATTCAAAACTCTGTCGATTCATCTGGGTCTCCATTCAAAGTTCCAAGATAAGTAGACAACCCCTCCCTGATTAGAGAACAAGATCCAATCACAAATTGAATCCTAGCGCCTTTGCTATTTATGATCTGGCTTTGATTCTTTGATATGTTTCATTCGACAGGAAGGGTAAGCGCACTGATAGGGACAGATTATGAAATTTGGCTCACTTCTTGCTTACGACCGCTCCCTAGCGAAGTTTGCGATTCACTGAAGGATCAGTTCATCGGTTTCTCTCTGCTTCGATATCATTCATGGCAAAACTTATCCGACCGCTAACAATCATGGATTTTCATTTAATGATGTATCCGTAGAGAAAAGGAGCTACATTTATGAAGACATTTGATGGTGGTATTACTGTCTCGACAACAATTGTGAGTACCATTCAAGGCTTTGAATGCCTACCAGTTAGATGTTCAATGGGTCATTATTTTTAACATCAACAGCGACAGATCGAGACAGTCAGAAAGATCTAATCAAAGGCATAGGCATCGGTACATTTTGAATATCGTTTGCATGCCCTCTTGTTCCTCTATCGAACTTTGTGTTCCGAAAAGTATCATTCGTTGCAGAGAGAAGTGTGCTGTTTGCCGTTTCTCACAACTCTATCATAAGAAAGAGGGAAGCCCGGCGTTAGTCGGGAGGTCCAGTAGTCTCTATACATAAGACGGTAATTTTGTGTGTCTGTTTGTATGCCCGTTTGTGCGTCCTTCCGAAAGTCACGTAGGCACGACGAAGAGTGCGATTGTCACGTGAGCGCGGTGAGGAAACAGTTATGAAATGGGAATTCAACCGAAACTGTTCACATTGGTCCTCTAACAAGTCGTAGTGGGCATGTGGTGCACGCATTAGCGTGCGTAGCGCAACTGGTATATTGTAAAGCGCTAACTTTGCGTGTCCGTTTGTATGTCGGTTTGTCGGTCTGCCCACGAAAAATCACGTAGGTGCAATGAAGAGCGTGAAATGTTACGTAGGCGCCATGAGGAGTGAAGTAGGACGTCTGTTGGTATTGTTTACACCAGTGTCGAAGTACTGCCATTACAGTACAGTAGAGATCACAATTTGAATCATCCACCTCACTTCATATTACTCACTTCACTCCGCAGTGCTCACTTTACTCCATTAGCCTACCCACAAAGTGACTGCTTTTTATATAAGAAGAATAAGTTTTCCATATCACCACCTTTATCATAATCACAAAGTCCCGGACGGACAGACCGACAAACCGACATACCGACATACCGACATACCGACATACAGACAAACCGACATACCGACAAACCGACAAACCAAGTTACTGCTTTATATATAAGAAGGATTGATCCCTAACAAATCTTAGATAGGTGATTGCGGACATGTGATATACACATTAGCATGAATAGTCCAATTGGTGTACAACATAATGTGGCAGTGCCTTACCACAGCACATGTGAAAACTGGTTCACAAACTTTCACTTCAATTTTCAACTTACGTGTTTTTTTCACTTCTAGGTGACCTGACTAGTAGGCTGCTGATCTTTTGATGGCAATGTCCACAGCTGACACTCATGTAATCTTACGAGAAGCTGCTGAGAAGACCGACGCATCCATGGAAGGGTTTACTGTTGAAAAAGTCAGATGTGAAGCCTTCACGAGGACTAAAGGCAATTCACTCGACGCAGTAACTTGTAATTGCGACTTGCACTTCAAACGTAATGTAGACCGCCCATATTCAAAACAAATATCGGCTGCTGGATGATCCTCGGAATTCTCGATAATGTCTGTTCCAAACAATACCGGGTCAGCCCGGATGAACCTGCTGAAAGGAGCGCTAGAGTTGATCTTCAACAAAAAAAGATCAGGTCACCAGCTTAGTGGAGTTACAATAAAGTGAGGTAGTCTGATGTGCTTTCAAAAGGCAGCATGATAACTTAGATTTCTACTTTTTAGGAAACTTAACCAACGGGAAAGCTCTCTAAATAGACCCAGTTCCAAAGGAATAGTGGTGAATCGAGTCAATGCTTATATTTTTGGTGACTTGGCAAAAATACTGAAGCTCAATTGGAAAAACAATTCCGCATCCACCATATGTGGCCCTGACCTCGCGTCATCTTATCACTACGTATTTCGGCCAGTGCAGCACTCCTTGAATGAGCAAACTTTTGCCAAGTTGAGGATATCAAATCTTATGTGGTCCAGCTCTTTTCGAGAAAATTAGAAGTTGGAAAATCTTAATTTCCGAACGAAACTTCCGATTTTATAATAATACCATAATTAGTCTCTGCAGCATGTTATTTCGATTCTAGTGCTTACTTTCATTTTTGCCGTAAAGCAAATTCGTACGGATAGTTAGTAGTTGACTAGTTTTGACATGTACCATAAATGTTGGCCGCGGTCTTCACATCTGAGACACCTCTTCCCAATTTTAGCTGGTTTTGTCCTCTTAAGGTTCGGCCTTTAGGAACCAGACAGATTTGAGACCCGTATTTGTTTCATTGTTTAGTTTCATCGTGTATACGAATACCGGTTGGATACTGGCCCAGCTTAATGACCTGATCACTGCCCATGGCTCTTCTCAGTTGGTAGAAAACTTGGGATGTTCGATGCGTTGGAGAGCTAGTAAACGCCTCACGAATGGAGCGCTTTCCAGTGTCCTGATGTGGTATCGCCTTTCATCAGTGCTTATCACTGTAGAAGGCACATTTTATCATGAGCATCTATAAATTCTTCACTGTTCTCATCACAATTCAGTCTGTTTTGCCTCATAATATATCGGGACGGATCGGTTGCTATCACTGTTTCACCCAACCATCTACGATCCGATCGCAGTACACGGTAATACTAACGTGCTAACATGAAAAGCGTGAAGTTTCCATTGTCCATTGCACTCTAAGGCCCCGTGTCTCCCCTAATCGTTACTATAACTTACTGTCACCATTTGAGATCCCATCTTGCTATTCTTGACCTATTGTAAAAACAGCACTCAACTAATCAATAGGTAAGGCTGGAAGAGACAAGTTTTCTCTACTTCTTTCGTTTTGCTGTCCCCAGTTAGTTGTTATCATTTTCTGTCTTCAACTGTTTACAGTCAGGATACACCTAAAGTATTATAAAATAGCCATTCGATGAGGAAAGGCTGTTAATAAGAAAAGCGGTCCGTTATCAGCCCTTTTCATTGCTGCCACGCAGCTTTCCCTTCACCGGTGTTCGTACCCCATCACATTCATCTCACTTCCAGATCATGTTTCTGATCCCAGAGCAACGGGAATCATGAATTTTCGGGGACCTACACATATTTAGCAATAAATTCGAATCCGATTTTGTACTAACCTATGCACTCAGTTTTGAAATATGATCCTTCCAATGAGGATTTTCAAAAAATTCTTGTTTTTGGGTTTATGTGTGTGACTCGAATAAGTGGTTCGGTGGTCTGTGAAACGTCATGGGTTCCCAAAGGAAAAGCACTTTCAGCATTTGTCGCCTACGAACGGATGCCGCCTAAAGTCACCAAATGAAAGCCATGCGCTGAATTCCTTCCCGAGCTTTAGAGGGCCCCTGTTCTAGGAACGTTCATTGCTTCCGAGGTTCAGCTTGACACGGCTGACCATACCGACACGATAGAGGGTCCTTAGTTCATTTTCTTGTCACATCTTGACTGTGAATGTGTCCCGTTTGGATTTATAGCTGATTTTTCCACCAAGAATTGTCTGTCCGTTTCTTGTACTTCTACAGTATGGTTCTTCGCCAAAAAGCTCTTGTAGATTTCTAAAGTTTTGGTTTTGTCTCTCGTTACCTTAACCCTTTTTCCAGTCTTTCCACTTTGTGCACTCCACTAATGAAAGTTCTCTTTATTCAAGCATGAAGAGGAGTTGGAGTCTATGCGGCGCAAATTGAAAGAATGTCACAGTGAAATTGACAGGTTACAAGAAACAAATACACATCTTCAAAGACTGGTGGAGCACCCAAACCAGGAACCTGTAAGTTTATGTCCGTAGGTAAATCTTTCCCTTTGAAAATATAAAAACTTTGCTTCAGAACTCCCCAGCAGTCGTCGGCGTGAAACGGAGCAGTCTGTACGACGGCATGGGATTCGCTGATCCAGCTGAAGCAGAAGTGAGATGGACTATATTTCGCAATGAATTTCCGCAAGAACATCAATTACTCAAATGTATTCGCATGTTTGAACTCAATGTTACTGCTTAACAAATATTTTAGTACTTGAAGAATGTTCTCTATCGCTATATGTATTCGAGGGAGAACCTTGGTAAAGAAGCAGTGGTAAGTTTCATTTAACAATTTTTCCTCTGCTATTCGGCCATTTTCTGTTACATTAACTGCATTAACTTGTGTCTATCCTGCTCGCCTTTTCTTGCTTTTCTAAATTGTCACAACTTTTTTTTTATTCTTCTTACTCGTTGTTAGTGTACAACTGAATGTCTATTCCCTAATGATATAGCACATTACTTTTCCGTGGTGCCTATTTCACAATAACTATCAACCAGCTGATTTTCAGACGCTGGCCCGAGTAATTGGCACGGTGGCCAGATTTTCGAAATCAGAGATGGATAATGTCGTAACGAAAGAAGAGTCTCGAGTGGCCGGCTGGGTCGGGGGAACGGTCTCACATGTGCTCACTGGGCGCTAATCACTTTCTCTTCATCGATTTTTTTTCACTCATCGGCGTTAGCCAGCTACTGCTAACAATTGGTTCAGGCTTTTGGATCCTTTTTCCGAATGGATTGTTCTAACCCTTCTCTTTCGTTACGCATACAGGGAGTCTCGAAATAGTCTTGATAATCAAATTTCCGACAAATTCTGTCGCGTTTAACAAGAAGCTACTTAGATCTTACAACTTTTGTCATGGTATCATTCGCACGTTAGCTGCACAAGTGGGTTTTCTTGCAACATGCACAGCTATTGAAGTGAGACCCCCAATATCTTCAGAAGGTGGAGGCTCGTTCAATGTCACTTGCAGTCATTTGCATGCAAGAGGCGGAAGGGCATAGTAAAATTCTTCGAGATTTTACTGACTGCTCAGAGGGCTGTTGAATCGCACATAGAAGCAAAAGCAATCAAAGACAAGCTGGGAAATAGTAGAAACGCTGGTGTTTCTAAAGATTGGACTTTATAAATGGTTCCTTCGTGAGTCGTCTGGGTGACTCATGAAAAGGAATGCAACTGAGCAGGACCTAGCGAAGTTTTAGATGTGGCAGGTTTTCGAGCAGAGGCTTCGTTGCCACAACTATCGTGTGCAGAAATACCACTTCATTCCCTTATTAACAGACATTGTGGGGTTCGAAAATACGGAAGGTTGCTAACTAACTCAAGTGGAGACACGCACATCTTCATCTTTTTCTCAGACAAGAGAATATTTCACGAAAAAGGCAGTTCACAACAAATAAAGCGATGACTTTCTGGATGCATACATCTCTGTTGCTATCTCTCTCGAAGTTATTATACGTTTACCAAAAAGATGTTTGTTGAGGGAGCCAATGGTGAGACGCTGTTGGTTTTGTCGGTATCAGCAAAGAAACTGTCAAAAAGGTGTACTTAGACAGCATACGTCTAGATACTGAAGCACTGATCCGACTCCGCTTCCTAAAACAGCCCGAGGTTCTTCGAGAAGAACGGTACTGAAGTCCACAGAGCCATGCTTGGTCAAGAGGGTGTCCAATTTCATTAGTTTGATGGAGTGACCATTTTTCTCCGTGGACTCGAGCCATTTGGCTCTTCCGTATGGTCCCTGGTTAGAAAGGGACCTGCCGACTCTGTAATCACTGTTTACATTCCTTGAAAGCAAGAGTCAATAACGGCTGGGAGGAAATGAAGCTGCGTGCAAAATGCGAGGAGTTCGAGGATAGGCTCTGGGCCTCCATTCCTGTCAATGGGGATATTTCGAGGGGTTCTCGTAGTTTACTGTTGCACAAAAGTAAGCGAACGAGTATACAAATCTCCTTCTTTTCATTGGGTAGACGCTAATTTTGGGACAACCTGTATATATAATATGTATATACATAAAAATAAATTTCTATTTATATATTTATATAAAATATCTTTTGGGTAGAATGTAACGAAAGACGTTTAACCTCTTATGAAATGCATTCATTATACGAGCATTATGGTGCGTAGGCGATGAAGAGACACCCTAACCAATGCTGGAACGAGTAGCATTGGCATTTTGTCAGTAATCAATGAGTAACGTTTCTTCTCTGCAACTGGGATCTTCCCATCCGTTTTTGCATATTTTTTTCATACTTGTATAATACCATGAAATGGAACTACGAAAGGTGCTGTTCGCGAATGTTGGAGAAAAAAAAAGCTTGGAAGATGACTAGTCTCACCGATAACTGGCAAAATGACAGAAATGCTATGGCGAGGAAAACAGGTTAACGACCATTAGAGGTCCTCGCACACAGTTGCGATGTTGCCTTCTGTCCCACATTCGAAACGGATTTTCAGCGTTGTACCCGCTTGTGGGCTTTCTTTCTTGGTTAAGAGTCGACTTAAGAAGAAATCACTTATCAAATGCCTTCTCATTCTTTTATTTTCGTTTGTACATTTCCATTCATTTTAGGTTATTTGATCTAACATTGGTAACGACATCGGTGTTATGGTTGTAATGTATAGTCTTAGGCATGTTTTATGCATAGTAGTTATTGAACCTATCAAGACGACTTATTCTGTTTTCAATGTAAGATGACGGAAGCAGTGGGGTCTTCCCGAAGTTCGGATTGCAGATGATGATTTCAGTAAACGTTTGCATATTTTGTTTCGAAAGTGTCGATCTGATAGCTTTTTTACGCTATAAGCTGGTTTGGCGGAACAGGGTAACAGGAGATGTGAACTGCTGGCCAAACGCACATACGGGGCAAACACACACACCACAAATGGACACAAATGCACAGCGCTCAACCTTGTATTCCTACCGAATAGGAACGCTCCAGGTCGAAGGGGACAAGAGCAATGATTTCCGGTGACACAAACCATCGACACATACTGGCACAAACTGACACACACACGCGCAAAACATATATTCTAACTTGAGCTCCGGCCATTTCAAAGCCTTTCTCATCTGTCATAAACACTTGACCTCCCTTTCTTTTCTCGCTTCTACTCTCTTTCCCATTTCTAAAACTTTTTTTCGATAGGAATATACAGGGTGCGCTATATGGTAACAATTTTTTGGACGTCCGTAAATTTCTTTGGTTTGAGGGCTCCTCCAAATCTGTCCCATCCCTCAGGTTTATGACATACCTAAGCCCACATATCTACTTTGATGCTCTCAATTCGTCAGATTTCGAAAAACGGTATAGTCATCCAACATCCACCAGCCGTTCCGTCTGTGGGCGCATTTGATGAGTTCTTTTTAGGATCGCTCCTCGTCTCAACATTTCTCACATGACAGTCTCTTGAAACGCGATGCGTAGACAGGACAACGACAAACCTCAAAACGGTCGTTCTGTCTCACCTACGACCTCTTTTCCGAATAGAATTGCTTTGGAGGAAGTGCGCTGCGGAACCTGCAGAAACGCCAGAAAAATATGTGCAGATTTGTTTGTATGTTCTACTCCGATGAGAAGAGTCTACCCCCAGTGAATACGGTTGTATACAGATAGATTTCGAAAGACTTATAAGCTTCTTGACGAGAAGAAGTTGGAGAGGAAAAGAAATGCCGAGCGCTACTTGCGCGCGGCATGCGCTCCGACAGACTTTTCTGACTAAAGGGTGTTCAGCATTGGAGAAATGTTGAGTTCTCAGAGTATACGTATGTATATTTCACACTACAAGTGCTGAAGCCGCACAGAAGAGTCGGATCACCTCTCAGAGCCATTTCCCCTCTTTTGTGATGGTTTAGGCTAGAATCTCTACCAGCAGAGCGATACCGCAAATTTGGTCGAGAAAAGTACAAAACTTAAGCCGAACCTCTTTAAGGAAGGGTTTTCCTTGAAGGATGCAGCTGAGGGTCGGAGTTTTTTTATTGGTACGATTTGAAAACTGCGACGCACTTGCTCACGAATAGGCAAAGATCAAGGCAATGTTAGGCCAATATTTTTGTTACAATATTTATGACGCACCCTGTTGTTTTTAACTTGGACCCCGCTCAATTCGACACCCCATCTCACCGACTGTATAATTCTGCCTCTCTTGCTTTGCTGGCTTCCATTCACCTTTTCCCAACCTCTAGAAAGGTTTTAATTAGATGTATAAGTTTTTCGTCTCGTTGCGAAATTCATCCCGCCTAACAATCTGACACCCCTTCCTTAGCTTCTACTCATCTCTTCCCGAGCTCGGGAGTGTTTGTTAGCAGGGATATAGATTTTAGATTTTTAGATTTTTGATCTGAGCAAACTCTTGTTCATTTCGCCTGCCATGAAGGTCTAACATCTCTTTCTTTGCGACCTTCTACTCCCTTTCCCTGCCTTTAGGACGTTTTTAAGCGAGAATACATTCCTCTACTTCACAGGCCTCCACTCTTTTTTTTCTTAGTGTAACTTTTCTAGCAGGAAAGATTTTTGATCCAAGGTATCGCCGCCCTTTCCTCAATAGCTTCTACTTATTTTTTACCATCCTTAAATGTTTCGAGATTAGAGATTTCCCACCAGAGTTCCGCCTATTTTAGAACCGATCTCGCTCACCACGAAGATTTGACCTAATTCATCTGTTCGCCTCTACTCGTTTTACCCAGACCAGCTTGAAACATTTGCATTCCTAGAAGCATAACTCTTGCTTCACTCAGTAGTGGCAGAGGATCGGGCAGGTAAGCGAGCACAGTCAGACTACTCGACGCACCAAACTTATTCCATATGTGTTACTGTGTTATTATGGAAGAGATTTCTCTGCTATGTTCCACTCACTTTTGGAAAACTTTTCAGAATTTGACCTTCGAAGTTGAATAAAAATTCGGTAGTGGGTACCTTTCATTCGAGTGTACACCCGGCCCACAATGAGGAGCATGCTTAGTACGCTTGAGATATTAGGTGTTTCAGAAAGTTCTGTCGTTTCGGATGGCCTACTTTGAGACGCTCTTTTCTGAGCTATTTTCCTTTGCTCTGCTATTATTCAGTACACCATTCGAAAGCGCTTCTGAGTGTTGCATAAGCTTCGTCTCATAGTCTTTGCAAAAGCTTGGAAAAAACATGGACAAACGACAAGTTCGCACCATACTCCTTTTCCAATTCAAACTAGGCAGGAATGCAGCGGACACGGCTCGCAATATCAACATAGCGTTTGGCTCTGGAGCAACAAATGTACGTACTGCACAGCGATGGTTCGAGTAGTTCCGTATTGACGACGAAAGTCTCGAAGACGGTGATGGTAGTAGTTTGGTGGTCAGCGGCTGGTTTAATTCATCATAGCTTTTTGGATCCGGGCGAAACTATCACAGCTGAAAGATACTGCCAGCATATTGACGAAATGCACCAGAAGCTGCAGCTTATGAGCCCTGGATTGGTGAACAGGAAGGGGCCGATCCTTCTCCACCACAGCGCGTGCTCCCATGTCACACAGACCACCCTGAAGAAATTGAACGAGCTTGGCTATAAAACTCTGCCACGCCCACCGTANTTTTTGGATCCGGGCGAAACTATCACAGCTGAAAGATACTGCCAGCATATTGACGAAATGCACCAGAAGCTGCAGCTTATG